CTGCGGAAGAGTAAGAATGAGAAAGGTAAAGAGAGAGAGAGAGGGAGAGAGACCATGACTGATACAAAAAAAAATGAAAATATGATTATTTTTTTTTATTTTGCTATCGAAGTTGATAGTGTATTGTGCACCCCATATCCATCCTGTTGACGGTAGCGCGAGAGCGGAGGAATACACAAAAGGCCTAGGAACTAGGCTCCAAAATAGTCAGGTGTACATCTGGATTTATATCTACAGTTCATTTATCTGTTACAAACAAATTTTGTATCTAATTTTCATTAGTAAGATATCTTGACATGTCACATAGGTTATTATACTGTCTATCAGTATATTCTTCAATAAGTGTTCAAGATTCGGCTGGTCACATAGTCTGTGTCTGCCAAACTGCCAGAAGTATTCGTAGTCAAGCTTAAGCCTGGCTGCTACTACATCATTTAATATTTGTAACCAAGCTTAAGCCTGACCACTACAACGTCACTTTATATTTGTAAGCAAGCTTAAGCCTTATTACTACAACATCACTTAATATTTGTAACCAAGCTTAAGCCTGACCACTACAACATCACTCCGCAAGTTGCTCCAGGAACGTACTTACCTACGTTCACATTACCATAGTGATCAATAGATCCTCTCAGGCTTTTAGCTGCATTCCTATAACATTCACTTTGAAGATTGAGACACTTATGAAACATGGGAATCTTCAATGAAACAACGTTTCGCCACACAGTGGCTTCATCAGCCTAGTACAAAGCAGAAAGGTGTAAGGAGAGGAGGAGTTTGAGGTAATCAGTCTCTCAGCCTGGAGTCGATGTGTTCAGTCCATCAATCTTGTAGAAAGTACAGCATAGGGCCTTAGAAGTGGGTTATATACTGAAGTGAGGTGAGGTGAAGCAGGAGGAGGCGGGGTCATAGTGGTACCATCCACTAGTCGAAGTAGATCTTCGTCCAAAGGTTGAGCAAGTGTTGACGAATTCTTTGTATCAAGATCCCATGATGTTGCAGTGTCTGACAGATGTGATAAATGGTTTAAAACCGACAAGTTGAAGATTGAGACACTTAAGCAAACTCCTCCTCTCCATACACCTTCCTGCATTGTATTGGACTGATGAAGCCACTGTGTGGCGAAACGTTTCTTCAACAAAGACTCCCATATGTTGCATAAGTCTCTCATTCGTCAACTCGTGGGTTTCAAACGATTTATCACAATAATAACTTTCATTATTTATTCCTCTCTCAATATCAGTCCTCAAGCTGGACATATTAAAATTAAATCAAGTATTTTCCTTTGGGATATTTTCTTTGGTTAAAGGATCAGCTTTATCATGAAGGAGTATGTCAAAGTAGGTGTGAGGGTGGAGTGGGTGTGAGGATAGAGTGAGTGTGAGGGTCGAGTGGGTGAGAAGGTGGAGTTGGTGTGAGGGTTGAGTGGGTGTGAAAGTGGGATGGGTGTGAGGGGTGGACTGAGTGTCAGGGGGGAGTGGGTGTGAAGATTTGGAGTGGGTGTGAGGGTTGGAGAGGGTGTGAGGGTGGAAGGGTGTGAGGAGGAGTGGGTGTGGGGTGGGAAATGAGTGTGAGGGTAGAATAGTGAGGTGGAAATGGTTGTGAGGGTGGAGTTAATGTTTGGTCGAGTGGGTGTGAGGATGGAGTGAATGTGAGTGTGTGGGTGTGAGGGTGGAGTGAATGTAAGGGTGGAGGTTTGGGGTGAGGGTGGAGTGGGTGTGAGGGTGGGTGAATGTGAGGTGGAGTGAATGTGAGGGTGGATTGAATTTTGAGGAGGAGTGGGGGTGAGGGTGGAGTGGGTGCGAGGGTGAAGTAGGTGTGGGTGGGTGAATGAGAGTGGAGTGGGGTTTAGGGTGGAGTGAATTTTGAGGGTTGAGTGGGTGTAAGGATAGAGTGGGAGTGAGGGTGGACTGGGTATGAAAGTGGAGTGGGTGTGAGAGTGGAGTGGGTGTTAAGGGTGGAGTGGGTGTGAGGGTGGAGCGGGGTTTGAGAGTGGAGTGATGCGAGGGGGGAGTGGGTGGGGAGGGTTTGGGGTGGGTTGTGAGGGGGGGATTGGATGTAAGGGTGGAGTGAATGTGAGGGATTTTGAGGGTGTTAGGGTGGAGTGAATGTGAGAGTGGAGTGAATGTGAGGGCGGAGTGAATGTGAGGGTGGAGTGAAAGTGAGGGTGGAGTGAATTTCGAGGGTGGAGTGAATGTGAGGGTGCAGTGGGTGTGAGGGTTGTAGTGAAATGTGAGAGTAGAGTGAATTTTGAGGGTGGAGTGACTGTGAGGGTGGAGTGAATGTGAGGGTGGAGTGGGTGTGAGGGTGGAGTGAATGTGAGGGTGGAATGGGTGTGTGGGGTGGAGTGGGTGTGAGAGTGGAGTGGATTGAGAGTGGAGTGAATGCGTTGGTTGGTGGGAGTGGGGTGGAGTGGATGTGAGGGTGGAGTGGGTGTGAGGGCGGGGAAGTGGGTATGAGGGTGGAGTGAGAGTGAGGGTGGAGCGGGAGTGAGGGTGGAGTGGGTGTGAGGGTGGAGTGAATGTGAGGGAGGAGTGGGTGTGAGGGGGGGAGTGGCGGTGAGGGTGGAGTGGGTGTGAGGATGGAGTGGGTGTAGGTTGGATTGAATGTGAGGGTGGAGTGAATGTGAGGGGGGTTTTTGAGGGTGTGAGGGTGGAGTGAATGTGAGAGTGGAGTGAATGTAGGGTGGAGTGAATGTGAGGGTGGAGGAATGCGAGGGTGGAGCGATGTGAAGGTTTTTAGTAGGTGTGAGGGTGGAGTAAAAGTGAGGGTGGAGTGAATGAGAGGGTGGATGTGACTGTGAGAGTGGATTGAATGTGAGGGTGGAGTGGGTGTGAGGGTGGAAGTGATGTGGGGTGGAGTAGGTGTGAGGGTGAAGTGAATGTGAGGGTGGAGTGAATGTGAGGGTGGAGTAAATGTGAGGGCTGAGAGAATGTGAGGGTGTAGTGGGTGTGAGGGTGGAGTGAATGTGAGGGTGAGTGAATATGAGGGCGGAGTGAATGTGAGGGTCTAGTGGTGTGAGGGTGGAGTGAATGTGAGGGTGGAGTGAATGTGAGGTTGAGTGAATGGGGAGGGTGTAGTGGGTTTTGGGGTGGAGTGAAAGTGAGGGTGGAGTGAATGTGAGGGTGAAGTGATTTTGAGAGTATAGTGGGTGTGAGGGTGGAGTGAATGTGAGGGTGTAGTGTGTGTTTAGGGTGGAGTGGGTGTGAATTTGGAGTGGGTGTGAGGGTGGAGTGGGTGTGAGGGTGGAGTGGGTGTGAGGATGGAGTGAATGTGAGAGTGGAGTGGATGTGAGGTTGGAGTGAATGTGAAGGTGTAGTGGGTGTGAGGGTGGAGTGAATGTGAGGGTGTAGTGGGTGTGGGTGGAGTGAATGTGAGGGTGGGGAGTGCGGGGTGAGGATGAAGTGGGTATGTAGCTGGAGTGGGTGTGAGGGTGGAGTGGGTGTGTGAGAGTGGAGTGGGTGTGAGGGTGGAGTGAGTGTGAGGGTGGAGTGAATGCGAGGGAGGTGTGGGCATGAGGGTGGAGCAAGTGTAGGGTGGGTGGGTGTGAGGATGGAGTGGGTATGAGGGTGGATTGACTGTGAGGGTGGAGTGAATGTGAGGAGTGTAGAGGGTGTTGAGGGGGAGGAATGTGAGGTGGAGTTTAATGTGAGGGCGGAGTGAATGTGAGGGTGGAGTGAATGGGAGGGTGAAGTGAATGTGAGGGTGTAGTGGGTGTGGGGTTTGGAAATGAATGTGAGAGTGGATTGAATGTGAGGGTGGAGTGACTGTGAGGGTGGATTGAATGTTTAGGGTGGAAATAATTGTGAGGGTGTATTGAATGTGAGGGTGTAGTGAGTGTGAGGGTGGAGTGAATGTGAGGGTGGACTGAATGTGGGGGGTGGAGTGAATGGAGGGTGGAGTAGGTGGGAGGGTGGAGTGAATGTGAGGGTGGGTGAATGTGAGGGTGGAGTGAATGTGAGGCCGGAGTGATTTGAGGGTTTTAGTTGGGTTTTGAGGGTGGAGTGAATGTGAGGGTGGAGTGAATGTGAGTGTGGAGTGAAAGTTGAGGGTGGAGTAAATGTGAGGGTGGAGTGAAAATGAGGGTGGAGTGGGTTAGAGGGTGGAGTGAATGTGAGGGAGGAGTGGGTGTGAGGGTGGAGTGAATGTGAGGGTGGAGTGAATGTGAGGGTCTAGTGGGTGTGAGGTGGAGTGAATAGAGGGTGAAGTGAAAGTGAGGGGGGAGTGAAAGTGAGGGTTGGAGTAAATGTGAGGGTGCAGTGAATGTGAAGGTGGGGGTGGGGTAAGGGTAGACTGAAAGTGAGGGAGGGGTGGGTGTGAGGGTGGAGTGAATGTGAGGGTGTAGTGGGGTGTGAGGGTGGAGTGAATGTGAGGGTGGAGTGAATGTGATGGTGAAGTGGAATGTGAGGGTGTAGTGGGGTGTCAGGGTGGAGTGAATTTTAGGGGTTTTTTAGTGCGTGTGAGGGTGGAGTGGGTGTGAGGTTGGAGTGGGTTTTGAGGGTGGAGGGGTGTGAGGGTGGGTGGGTGTGAGGATGGAGTGAATGTGAGAGTGGAGTGGATGTGAGGTTGGAGTGAATGTGAAGGTGTAGTGGGTGTGAGGGTGGAGTGAATTTTGAGGGTGTGTGGGGTGTGAGGGTGGAGTGAATGTGAGGGGGAGTGCGTGTGAGGATGAAGTGGGTATGTAGCTGGAGTGGGTGTGAGGGTGGAGTGGGTGTGAGAGTGGGGTGGGTGCGAGGGGGTGGAGTGAGTGTGAGGGTGGAGTGAAAGCGAGGGGGTGTGGGCATGAGGGTGGAGGGGTGTGGGGGGTGGAGTGGGTGTGAGAATGGAGGGGGGTGTGAGGGGTGGGTTGACTGTGAGGGTGGATGAATGTGAGGAGTGTAGAGGGTGTGAGGGTGGAGTGAATGTGAGTGTGGAGTGAATGTGAGGGCGGAGTGAATGTGAGGGTAAAGTGAATGGGAGGGTGAAGTGAATGTGAGGGTTTTTGGTGGGTGTGAGGGTGG